TTTCTGCCTTTATTTCCAAACTCTGCTCTTATATAAGCGCGTGTCTGAGCTCAGAAGGTTCCCGGGCCCGGGACCTGCTCACCCGGCAAACTTTACCGTTCACCGAGCTGCCGGAAAACGCTGTGTGTTGTCGTAAAAATACTAACACGTTGATGTCTTTAACAAACCTCCCCCTCCCGAACATGTTTACTCATCTGAAGTCTGAAGGATTGATCTGAAACAGGGACCAGAGGTGTTTTTGCACTCTAAATCTCCCAAAATGTGTTTTTATTTACTTCCTTGTTGTTTGTTTGTATGTGTGTTTGTGTGTGTGTGTGTGTGTGTCATCTGGTAACGTGCTTGGTGGGGTCCAGCGGGAGTCTGTGTCCTCAGCTCCTGTTTCCCCTTCTCCTGTGGCCTAAAATAGAGCCCTGGTGGAGCTGTGGTCCATCTGGGATTTGAGACACATTGTCCTCTCAGGTGATGGGAAACGAGGGCCTCCGGCCTCCAGGGAAAGGGGGATAAAGTTAATTAACCCAGCCCAGACTTTGACTTTGACCTCAAGGGCTCCCAGAATAAGCGGGAATTGATTTTAAATTATATTTTTCAAAAGCTGGAAAAGATCGATTTAACCCAAACGTTTCTGACATTTTCCAGTTTGAACCAAATAAGTCAAAGACGTAGAAACAAACTGACTGAACGCTTTTTTTCTGAGGTGTGGTTATGATTTGGGACTCTTTTTTTTGGGACTCTTTAGTTTGCTCGTGTTTTACACCCCCCCCTCCCGGTTAACAGACGTTGTCTGGACCTGTTCCCTGAAACTCTCCACCAAAAAAACGAGACCAACAAGAGCCGGCACGCCGGGTTAATCACACCTCAGAGAGCTGACACTCGCAGATACAGAGGCTGCTTCAAATAAAGCCCACCGGAGGAGCCAGCCAATCAGAGTCCTGCTTTTCTCTGATAAAAACCCGAACCTTTAGGCCGGATCAGGAAGCTGGAGCTCTCTCAGATCGGCCTGTTGTTTTGGTGGGGTCCTGCTGATGGTCAGGTGATTTGGACTCTGAAGAGTTCAAAGATGGCCGCTGAGAGCTCAACATTTCTGACATCTGTTAACATGAATGAGAGGAAGCCGGTCAGAGCGAGATATTTGGGATGGCCCCAACAGATGTGGGCCCCCCCTCTGGGAACAGGCCGTAAAAAACCTGGTCACGCAGGGAAAAGCCTCCACACATAACCCAGAGTCCTCTGTGGTCCACAGAGGACCGTCAGTGGGGATTTAGCTCCTCAGAAAATCTTCTGAAATAACTCTAGTTATCCCTTTTTTTTTCTTTTAAATTCAAGTTTAAGCACACACAAAAAAGGTCCACTTAGTATGTGACATTGTCCTATTTTACGTAGTTTCCCATACGCCACCTTTACATCTCCAACAGAAAATATGGTCCAGAAAATAGCAGTAATAACAAATTAATAATGATAATAAATATTGATAATAATTAATAATCATAATAAATCATCAGATACACCTAATGTGCACCCAGAAATCCTCTCAGATCATTTGTTTCTCATCATTCAGCCTTTCCAGCTTACTCTGTTAGGAGGTTTTGACCCAGTCTTTAATTCCAAAGTTTTTACACATTTGCTATAGTTATCCAAACCTACAGCCTCGTTATCTTTGATTAGCACCCAAACAGCCGGCGCTCTTTGAGACTGATGGAACATTAGTATTTGATGGCTGTACAGAGATTGTAATTTCTATATTCAGATATACATTACGCTGTTTGTAAATTAGTTTCTAAATCAGATTTATTGGTAAACGCAGAGATTAGCAAAACTGGAGTTAAACAAAGTGGATTCTGGGATTTTCTATTTAAAACCATGAAGACTTTGTTGTCAAACTGTTAATGCTGTTAAAAGATGTGTGATAAAATAGTAACAGCATATTTATGATTCAAAGATATGAAATAAAGGGACCAGTTGGACGTGTTGGACAGGAGACAAAAAGCTGGTCACTCCAAAGAAATATGGCTGTAAGGATTTGGAGTATTCTGAAATACAAGTGGGTCTAAAATTTAGACTTAGACTTCCTTTATTGTCATTGGACAAAAAACACGAGGTGAATCTTGACAACGAAATGTCTTTTACTTGGCTACCAGTGTGACAGAGCTAAGACCTTATTCCTACTTAATAAACATGTTTTCTGTAACTAAGAGCTAGATATATACAGGGTAAGAGCATATATATACATATTATTGTTATTACAAAAGAAACAGCAATGAATATTGCACTGAGTTGATTGCAAAAAGAAACAATAAAAGTAACCAAAAACTTTAGCTGTTCATCATCAAGAAGAGGTCCAAGAAAGGAAGCTGAAGGTTTGAACCTAGTCTGTTAGCGTTGATCACACAAAAGAACCCAGGAAGCAAAGAATTAAAGCAAATAAATGTAAAATTATGGATGCTGGACAGTTTATCAGCGTATATTTGGAGAATGGAGCTATCGGATCTCAGTAAGATAATGTAGGGAATGGATTTAAATTGGGATTATTTGAATGTTTTCAAAAGGGTTGAATCATAGTTGAATTTTCCTGTTAAAAATGGCCGCCTGCGGCTGTTTTCCTCCCTCCCTCAGACCCGGTTGGAGCTGAGTCCGTAGGTTTGGGTCCCTGCTCCGGCCGAATGGCGGCTGACCTGTACTGCCCCCCCCCCCTCCCCGCTGGGGGACTCCCTGCTGGACAGCCCTCTGTGTGGAGACCTGATGGAGGACCTGCAGGACATCTCCCGCTCCATCGGGGGGGACAGTCTGGGCTTCGATCTGACCGAGTACGAGAGCAGCGGCTCCGGGGGGAAGAGCTCCGTCAGCCTGTGTGAGTCCCAGTTAAAACACGATAAATGACCAATAAATGACCAACTGTCAGGTCAGTAAAACACGATAAATGACCAATAAATGACCAACT